TGCTAAGTGAATAAGTGTGTTTTTAAAACAAGTAAGTTTTAAGTAAGAAAAGTCATTGGAAAATATTATTTGTTAGCCTGTAGAAAATGCCCAGACATCAGCATCATCAGTATTGCAATGGTATATTCTGGCCTTTCTAATTGACTTTTTGTTTGTTTATCTGGAAGCTACGGCAGTATGTTAAATTTTGGTACATCTTTGCCTGGTCTACATTGTAGGGAATTGAATTAAAGGGCAACCTTTCTCAAAGGATTAAATCTAAAGGATAATAGCACGATAATCACATATGTCTACTTTTACCATATGTAGATAAAGGAGTTGTCAGGACCTGTTGATTGCACAGCTTTTGGTGTGTAGAGAAATGTCTGAGTTAGTTCTGTTCTTCCTTCTGTCCTCTATTTATCTGGAAAAAATTATATTTTTAGTTCATACACTACATTAAATTAGCTAATGCCTGGCAATTAATTAACACAGTGAAATGAAAATCACTTGATTATTTTGGGAGTTTGTGTGGAGCTTTGTTGATCAACCAAGAAACTCTTTATTTTCCCAATAGTTTTTCTTTGAGTGTTTGGAGATAATACTGTTTCACCGAAAGATACTGCTGAAAATTTAAAAAAAAAATTTTTAACTACTTTAAGTTGGGCAATCATATGCCTAAAGCATTTATCAAGTTTATCAGAATCACCACTCATAAAAAGTAAGCATAATTGAATGTAATTTAACTCCAAAATAACCATGGTATTACTTGTTTTTATTAAAAAATGAAACAATGGATTTCTTACATCCAGTGTTCAGATAAGAACTTAAATTTGGGCCATATCATTGATAGCAGGTACTTGGAAGATTGTGTTTTCTGAGATTAACTTGATATTGCAGTGAAATAAGTTTACTTATACAAGTTTTGAAATTTTGTTTTTACAGTAGCAATGTATAGTTACATTAATGTTAATTTGGGATAAAATTACATAAAGATTTAATGATACTTATTTGACATAGGTATTAATGAGGAAAAGTCTTTTTTCATTTGCATGTTTTCCAGTATTTCTCTGAAATGTATCTATTTAGTACTTGTGACCTTATATTATTGACCTGTGTTTGCTAACCCTTACCTGCTCTTATAAGTAGAATCAGAGGACGACAAAAGTAATACATAGAAATAGTAACTCTGGTTTTTTAAAAATTGTTCACTGTTTAGCTCAGGATTAATGTTCTGAAACATTTTTGGTGGATATATGTGATGATGCATTTCTTTTTGAACCAGTGGCCATTCTCTCCACTTCATGCTATGATGGGAAGTGTTTCCTCTGCCACTGAATAGATCCTAGAGCAAAAGGAAGTTTCTTCCTTGAGGTTCAGATGTTATCAGCTACAGTGATATGAAGCTAGTGTCTCAAGGACACAGCAGAGTAACTCAGCCTAAATAAGCAAATATAAAGAAAGAATGACTTTGAGGACATACAGGCCTAGCGGCGGCGGCCGACAGGGACATACAGGCCTAGAGGCGTCCCACAGAGGTAGATGGGCCTGGCAGCTACCCCCAACAGGGTCATACAGGCCCAGCGGCGGCCAGCAGAGGTAGACGAGCCCAGCAGCAGCGACAAGCAGAGGCAGGTAGGCCTGCGGCGGCGGCCCACAGAGGTAGACGGGCACAGCAGCTGCGGCCGACAGGGACATACAGGCCCAGCAGCGGCCTGCAGAGGTAGACGGGCCCGGCAACAGCGACAAGCTGTTTTATTTATTAATTTTTATAAATTTTATTTATTTATTGTAAAATAAAATAAATAAAATTAAAAAAAGAAGAATGACTTTGAATGGGGGAGGAGTATGGGAATTGAGAGATTTGTACTCTTATTTCCGACCATAGAAGGAGAATGTAGTTTAGCAGAGCTTATTTTGTCTGTGTGTCTTACTGATATTGGTTACTCTTTTCACATTAGGTTCATAGGAGTCATTGTGTCAATTCTAATTTTCTTTTTTTTTTTTTGGTTTTTCGAGACAGGGTTTCTCTGTATAGCTTTGCACTTTTCCTGGAACTCACTTGGCAGCCCAGGCTGGCCTTGAACTCACAGAGATCCGCCTGCCTCTGCCTCCCGAGTGCTGGGATTAAAGGCTTGTGCCCGGCTCTAATTTTTTTTTAAGTGGGTACATAAGACAAAGCTTAGTGCTCTCGTTTTACTTTTAGCCAATGGCTAAAACCCCATGGCATTTTGATAATTAGCTAATAAGATGCTTAAACATTTGTTCACTAATTGAACATGAAATGCCCCAAATGTTTGTCCATTTATATTTGATTAAAGTAAACCATGTTTCATGTAGAATTTTCTATCACTGTACTTCTTTTATGTAAGTACCCTATTTCCATCTATTTTTCTAAACATCAAACACCATAGTGGTGAAAAAAATGGCCATCAAATAAAGTTTTTGTTGGGTTTTAGTTTTTAAATTTCTCTTTTTACTCAGATAATTCACTTCCTCAGATTGTTCACTATTTAGGCAATGATCTGTCTCTTTATGTCATAGTTAATTCTTGGTGTTTGTGTCTGCAGGATAGACTTTTTCTCCCTCTAGGATCTGAAGAGCTTACCCAATTTTTCATCAGGGCTTGGGATAGAGAGAAGTAGTATTTTAGGAGACATATATAGATATATCCATATTTATATTTTAACCAAAGATTAACTAACACTGATAATTTACTGTGCTTAATGACATGGAATAATCAAGGTCATATGGAGCATTCCTTTGTGTTTGGGATCTTTTACAGTAACTGTGGCAGATGCTCAGTGTGCTGACAATGTCTTATGGTTCTTCAGCATATTTCACACTTGCTGTTTTCCTTGGGAATGATAATTTTGTTGCAAAAGGGAGGCGCCTATACTGTAGCACTGACCTTTTCAGAGTGTGCTCTTTCTCCGTTTAACACAGGCTGTGTGAGTATACTAATTGGAAGAAGTTTGGGGTTAGTTTATTAAGCATGTTTTCTAGGATACTAATTAAGAGAAAATACATTGGATGAAAATAATTCTATAATTAAACTTGGAATGCAAGATTAAACAATGTTCTGAGAATTTTTCTTGTGGTATTGTAGGGGGATGAATGGATCTACTACAAATGTTTGACGAATTTGGACACTTAGGATAAGTTTATATTTACAATAAATACATCATTGCACATGTATTTATAGACTTTTAAGGAATTTTATACTCTTTATTATACTTTCCTCAGATTAATGATTGGGCCTATTGCTTTAATTTGAAAGGTACTTCTGAAAAGTATTTAGAGATTGATGAACATTGAGTTTATAATTTGCTTAAAAATAGCTTCATCCTATACTTTGATTTTTCCAGGCTTGTATACAGTATAAGCTTTCTCCAGTTTTTTGTTTTCCTCATTAGAGAATCTTTTTTTTTTTTTCTTTCTGAAACAGGGTCTCAATATGTACCTCTGGCTGACCTAAGTAGACCAGGCTGGCTCTAGATCCACCTGCCTCTGCCTCTCAAGTGTTAGCATTAAAGATGCGTGCTATACTGCACTTGTCAAGTTTTATGTGTCTTAAGAACTAGTTGTTCTCACATGACTATAGTTTAGACATTTTACATTTATTTAACATAAAAATCTTATTCTTTTCTAGAGTCTGTATTATAATTATTGAAAATATTTTAACATTTATAATTCTTTTAAATGATATAATGCCAAGTTCAAAGGGACAATAATTTTATTCCTGTATAACTTCATCAGTTGTGTGCACAGTGAGTGCATATGTTTATTATTCTTTGTGAAACTTAACATTATGAAGAGTTTTTAAAATATGGACATGTAACTCAAAATTGCAGTTTTTGATGGCTGTAATATGTTATGCTTATTTACCTGATTCTTTGTTGAATGTTTAGGTTGTGTTTTTCTAACATATTTCTCCAATTGGTTACAATTTATCTTCAATTTTGTCTTTTGGACAAATTTCCAAAGATTATATTACTGAATAAGAAGTCTGAAAAACTTAATACTTATATACACTTTATATTTATTTACATAAGTATATTTAAATGTATATAGACATATTTACCTAAATAAGTATATTTATTATATATGTAGTATTTCATTTATTTATTTATTTTCATAAATACTTATGTAGTGCCAGAAAAGTAGAGTAACTCATTTTAGGTGACTTCAGGGTCTGTGCTCTTTTTGTAGCCCTACCTGTTTTGATGGTCTTGCCAAGTGGCTCTCTCAAATAAGGATCACGTCTGCTTTCAGTCAGTTTCAGTTCATCTGTCAGTATTGGATGATCTTTTTTTTAAACAGCCTATTTAATAGATAAAAATGATACATGCTTATTTCATAAAAGTACCTGATAAAGAAGATTAACTTTAAAATGTAAGTTAAGTATGTTCATTAGAAAAGCTTTCCTGGCCGGGCGGTGGTGGCGCACGCCTTTAATCCCAGCACTCCGGAGGCAGAGGCAGGTGGATCTTTGTGAGTTCGAGGCCAGCCTGGTCTACAGAGCGAGATCCAGGAAAGGCGCAAAGCTACACAGAGAAACTCTATCTCGAAAAATCAAAAAAAAAAAAAAAAGCTTTCCTGTGTGATAGTTATAATACATGCTGGCCAAATATAAAAGAGTGGAAATTGGCTAAGGCTACATAACATGGAGCTTTCTAGAATGAATTAATCTCCAGGGACTTACCATGTTGTTCATTAACTTTAAAAAATTTTTAGGAGAAATGCTTAATTATACAAAATATTATAGATAAAAAAGGTGTCTTTGTCAAGGTACTTTTAAAAATCTTATAGTTGTAAGCATAACAGTGCAGAGGGATTGAGATGTAAAAGTTTTCTTCATTACCTCATTTCAATTCCATTGCATGTAAAAGCCACTGCTTATCCCAACTGCCATTCTTGTTCTCATTTTTAACTACTATTAAAAATTTGTTAAGAAGTATTTGTTGTGTAGAAATCTAATTTTTAAACTTCTTTGTGTTTTCTTTTACTTTTTGGTGAAGCTGTGACTTCGTTGGAATTGTGAACATTCTTTTGAAGTATGGAGCCCAGTTAAATGAACTTCACTTGGCATACTGCCTCAAGTATGAGAAGTTTTCAATGTTTTGCTGCTTTTTAAAGAAAGTTTGCCTGTTGGCTCCTTGGAATCATACATCTGAATTTATAAGTTATGCAGTTAAAGCACAAACAAAATATAAAGAATGGCTGCCACATCTTCTGCTTGCTGGATTTGACCCATTGACTCTGCTGTGCAGCAGCTCTTGGTAAGAAATCTTTCTAGTAGGCTCTCCCTATTGGTAATGAGACTGCCTCAAACATGCCATCAGTTCTTTTATTATTATTATTAAGAATTTTTCTATTCATTTTACATACCAACCATAGATCCCCTCTCCTCCCTCCCCCTGCCCCTCAGCCTTCCCCCACAACCCATTCCCCATTCCCACCTCCAAGGTAAGGTCTCCCATGGGAAGTCAGCAGAGCCTGGTACATCAGTTGAGGCAGGTCCAAGCTCCTTCCCCCTGAACCAAGGCTGCACAAGGTGCCCCATCATAGGCACTGGGGTCCAAAAAGCCCGCTCATGCACCAGGGATCCATCCTGATCCCACTACCTGGGGGCCCCCTGTCCAGTTCAAGCTAAACAACTGTCTCACCTATCTGGAGGGCCTAGTCCAGTACCATGGGTGCTCCACAGGTATTGGTCCACAGTTCATGAGGTTCTACTAGTTTGGCTGGCCAACTCCGTATGTTTTCCCATCATGATCTCTATGTCCCTTGCCATTGAATCCCTCCTTTCTCTCATTGATTGGACTCCTGGAGCTTGGCATGGCGCCAGGCCATGAATCTCTTTATCTGCTTCCATCGGTTACTGGATGAAGGCTCTATGATGACAGGGTATTCACTAATTTGATTACTGGAGTAGGCCAGTTCAGGCACCCTCTCGACGATTGCTAGTAGTCTAAGGTGGGGTCATCCTTATGGATTCCTGGGAACTTCCCTAGCACCCTGTTTCTCCCTATTACCATGATGTCGTCACTTTTCATGGTATCTCTTCCTTACTCTCTCGTTCTGTCCATGTACCAGCTCAAACCTCCCATTCACTTATGTTCTCATCCCTCATCTATTGGTGAAATTATTATGGCCACTCCACGTAGCTAAAAGGATATTTATTTAATGGCGTAACTCACAAATTAAGGGATAGGTAGGTCGCAGGGTCTGCGGAAGGTGTATCACAATCCAGCTGTGTTCTCTGGAGCTCTGTTCGGTCCACCTCTACCGTTCAGGGTCCCGGCACAGAGAGAGTGCTCTCCCATCTAGCTCTCGGGTCTCCAAGTGCCTCCCCTGGCCCCGCCTTGTAGGCATGACAGTTGCCAGAGTCTCAATGGGGGTTGGAACTTCCAGATCCAAGCTGGAATGGCTACCCACTACACTCATCACTTGCCCTCATTACCCCCTTTTCCCCCCAGTTTGCTCATGTACATCTCATCTATTTCTCCTTCACTGGGTGATCTATGTGTCCCTCTTAGGGTCCTCCTTGTTCCTAGCTTCTCTGGAGCTTTGGGTTGTAGTCTGGTTATTCTTTCCTTTACATTTAGTATCCACTTATGAGTGAGTAAATACCATGTTTGTCCTTCTGAGTCTGGGTTACCTCACTAAGGATAATATTTTCTGGTTCCATTCATTTGCCTGAAAATTTCATGATATCGTTATTTTTTAACTGCTGAATAGTACTCCATTGTGTATATGTACCACATTTTCTTTATCCATTCTTCATTTGAGGGACATCTAGGTTGTATTTAGGTTCTGGCTATTACAAATAATGCTGCTATGAACAAAATTGAGAATGTGTCCTTGTGATATGATTGAGCATTCCTTGGGTATATGCCCAAGAGTGGTATAGCTGGGTCTTGAGGTAGATTGATTCCCAATTTTCTGAGAAACTGCCATACTGATTTCCACAGTGGTTGTACAAGTTTGTACTCCCACCAACAGTGGAGGAGTGTTTCCCTTGTTCTGCATCTTCCCCAACGTAAGCTGTCATCAGTGTTTTTGATCTTGGCCATTCTGACAGGTGTAAGATAGTATCTTAGATGTCATTTTAATTTGTGTTTCCCCGATGACTAAGGATGCTGAGCAGTTCCTTAAATGTCTTTTGGCCAATTGAGATTCTTCTGTTGAGAATTCTCTGTTTAGCTCTATGGCCCATTTTTAAATTGGATTGTTCAGTATTTTGATGTCTAGTTTCTTGAATTCTTTGTATATTTTGCATCAGCCCTCTGTCAGATGTGGGGTTGGTGAAGATGTTTTCCCATTCTGTAGGCTGTCATTTTGTCTTGTTGACCATATCCTTGCCCTACAAAAGCTTCTCAGTTTCAGCAGTCCCATTTATTAATTATTGCTCTCAGTGTCTGTGCTACTGTTGTTATATTTAGGAAATGGTCTCTTGTGCCAATGCATTCAAGACTATTTTCTATGTTCTCTTCCATCAAGTTTAGTGTACCTGGATTTATGTGGGGTCTTTGATCCACTTGAACTTGAGTTTTGTGCATGACAGATTTGGATCTATTTGCAATCTTCTACATGTTGCCATCCAGTTATGCCAGCACCATTTGTTGAAGATGCTTTCTTTTTCCCTTGTACAATTTTGGCTTCTTTGTCAAAAATCAGGTGTACATAGGTGTGCGGATTAATGTCAGGGTCTTCATTTTTATTCTGTTGGTGCACATGTCGGTTTTTATGCCAGTACCAAGCTGTTTTTTATTACTACAGCTCTATGGTAGAGCTTGAGGGTAGGGATGGTGATGCCTTCAGAGGTTGCTTTATTGTACAGGATTATTTTAGCTATCCTGGGTTTTTTGTTTTTCCATATGAAGTTGAGTATTGTTCTTTCTAGGTCTGTGAAGCATTGTGTTGGGATTTTGATGGGGATTGCACTGAATTTGTAGATTGGTTTTGGTAAGATTGACATTTTTTACTATGTTAATCCTACCTATCCATAAGCATGGGAGATCTTTCCACTTTCCATTTTCTGATACCTTCTTCAATTTCTTTTTTCAGAGACTTAAAGTTCTTGTCATACAGGTCTTTCACTTGCTTAGTTAGAGTAAGCCCAAGTTATTTTATATTACTTGTGGCTTATATTATTATATTATTATAAAGGGTATTGTTTCTCTGATTTCTTTCTCAGCCCATTTATCAGTTGTATATAGGAGGGCCACTGATTTTTTTGAGTTGATATTGTATCCTGCCACATTACTGAAGTTGTTTATCAACTGTAGGAGTTCCCTAGTGGAATTTTTGGGGTCACTTATGTATACTATAATATCATCTGCAAATAGTGAAAATTTGACTTCTTCCGTTCCAATTTCTATTCCCTTGATCTCCTTTTGTTGTCTTATTGCTCTAGCTAGAACTTCAAGTACTGTATTGAATAAATATGGGGAGAGTGGACAACCTTGTCTTGTTCCTGATTTTAGTGGAATAGCTTTGAGTTTCTCTCCATTTAATTTGATGATGGCTGTCGGCTTGCTGTAAATTTCCCTCATTATGTTTAGGTATATTTCTTGTATTCCTGATCTTTTTAGGGCTTTTATCATGGAGGGGTGTTGGATTTTGTCAAAGGCTTTTTCAGTATCTAATGAGATGATCATGTGGTTTTTTTTCTTTCAGTTTGTTTATATGGTGTATTTCATTGACAGATTTTTGTATGTTGAACCTTCCTTGCATCCCTATGATGAAGCCTTCTTGGTCATGGTGAATAATGTTTTTGATGTGTTCTTGGCTTCAATTTGCCAATATTTTATGGCATCAATGTTCATGAGGGAGATTGGTCTGTAGTTCTCTTTCTTTGTTGCATCTTTGTGTAGTTTGGGTATCAGGGTAATTGTAGCTTCATAAAGAGTTTGGTAGTGTTCTTTCTGTTTCTATTGTGTGGAACAATTTGAAGAGTATTGGTATGAGTTCTTCTTTGAAAATCTGGTAGAATTCTGTACTGAAACCATCTTGTCCTGGAATTTTTTTGGTTGGGAGACTTTTAATGACTGTTTCTATTTCCTTAGGGAATGTTGGTCTATGTAAATAGTTTATCTGGTCTTGATTTAACTTTGGTATGTGGTACCTGTCCTGAAAGTTGTCCATTTCTTTCAGATTTTCCAATTTTGTGGAGTACAGGTTTTTGAAGTATGACCTGATGATTCTCTGGATTTCCTTGTTGTCTGTTTTTATGTCTCTCTTTTCCTTTCTGATTTTGTGAATTCGGATGCTCTCTCTTTGCCTTTTGGATAATTTGAATAAGGGCTTGTCTATCTTGTTGATTTTCTCAAAGAACCCACTTTTTGTTTCATTGATTCTTTCTATTGTTCCTTTTGTGTCTATTTTATTGATTTTAGCCCTCAATTTGATTATTTCCTGGCGTCGATTCATCCTGGGTGAGTTTGCTTCTTTTTGTTCTAGGTGTGCTGTTAATTTCTTAGTATGAGATTTCTCCATCTTCTTTATGTGGGCATTTAGAGCTATGGATTTTCCTTTCATAGTATCCCATAAGTTTGGGTATGTTGTACATTCATTTTCATTGATTTCTAGGAAATCTATAGTTTCTTTCTTTATTTCTTCCTTGACCCATTGATGATTCAGTTGGGCATTATTCAGTTTCCATGTGATTCTAGGCTTTCTGTAACTTTTGTTGTTGAAATCTAACTTTAAGCCTTGGTAGTCCAATAAAATACAGGAGGTTATTCCAGTTTTTTTGTATCTGTTGAGATTTGCTTTGTGACCGCGCTTGTGGTCAGTTTTAGAGAAGTTTCCATGGGGTGCTGAGAAGAAGGTATATTCTTTTGTGTTAGGTGGAATGTTTTGTAGAGATCTATTAAGTCCTTTTGAGTCATATTTCTGTTAGTTCCCTTATTACTCTGTTAAATTTCTGTCTGGCAGACTTGTCCATTGGTGAGAAGGGGTGTTGAAGTCTTCCACTACTACTGTGTGGGATTTGATGTGGGATTTAAGCTTTAGTAATGTTTCTTTTACAAATGTGGGTGCCCTTGTATTTGGTGCATAAATGTTCAGAATTGAGACTTCATCTGGTGTATTTTCTCTGTGATAAATACGTAATGTCCTTCCTGATGTCTTTTGATTGATTGTAGTTTAAAGTCTATTCTATTAGATATTAGTATAGCTACACCAGCTTGCTTCTTAAGTCCTGTAGATTAGACTTTTTCCCAGCCTTTTACTCTGAAGTAGTATCTGTCTTTGAAGTTGAAGAGAAAGATGGATCCTGTTTTCATGTCCTT